AGGCTCCCCAGGGCAGTGGGCACAGCCCCAAGGCTGCCAGAGCTCAGGGAGGGTTTGGCTGATCCTCTGGGGCACAGGGGGTGACTCTTGGGGCTGGGCCTGTGCAGGGCTGAGGGTTGGACTCCGTGATCCTTGGGGGTCCCTCCCAGCTCAGCACATCCTGGGATTCTGAGCTCACTCCTTGCCGCGATTTCTCCGGGATAACCAGTGGCAGGAAACATCTGAAGCCAACAGGAGCTTTGCAGAAATTATCCCTCAGCCCATTAAAACATTGGGGAATGTCACTAACTGTGCCTTCCCGTGGGTTTCTCTCCGTGCAGGACACCGGCCATGATCGGCTGCTCCTTCGTGGTGAACAGGAAGTTCTTCGGGGAGATCGGGCTCCTGGATCCCGGCATGGACGTGTACGGAGGGGAGAACATCGAGCTGGGCATCAAGGTTGGTGACACACTTGCAAGAGAAATTGCACCCATCAGGATTTAAGGAGCCCAAAGTGACACTTTAACAAGTTGGCATGAGCAGTTATTGGAAGGCTTCGGGGGGACTGAGCAGGGATGGGATATTTATAGCATTTTAATTTCAGTTTAAGGGGGAAAATGGCTTGGTTTTAGGGGTGAGAGGAGTTTTTTTCCTTGGATTCTTATCTGTCTGACCTGAGGCAAAAAGCTACTGAGATGAAATGGCATTTCCAGCTTAAACAGACCCTGTCATGTTGTCACAGTGGCTGTAAAGTTATAGGTATCTTAAATACCAGGAAGAATACAGGGCCACTTTTGTGGTTTCACAGTCCTGGGGGGGTTGCTGGGACTCTTGTGAGTATCTCAAGAAGACACAAAGCCCAAAAATACTTTCCAGGCATTTACATCTGCAAATAAAACACGTTCCCAAACAGACAAAACCTGCTTTTCCCAGTGAAACCCCCCAATTGCAGAGCTGCCTCAGAGCATCCTTCCAGACTCCACCGTGACAGCATCACTTGATTACTATGTACAATATTAGATATGGCTTAGTGATTCAAGTGTTTGCACACACTGAAGTGATTCATAAGCAATGAATTCAGTGTTCAGAAGCAACCTGGGCTGGCAGAGTCTGTGGAGATTTTTCCAGGCACGGTTTGGAGTGCGGCACTTGTACGTTAACGAGCTGATAGGGGGAGGCTGGAGAGTTATACCTGGAAAATTGCATTGATTGTGCTGTTGTAAAAATGAAAAATCATTGTTCAAGCTCATAGATTTACCAGAGGATATTTGCTTTGCTGGCAAGTCAGGGGAAACTTAAGAAATCTATTGTTAGTCGGCTACGGGGAGCAATAATCTCACTTAAACAAGGGAATGGAAATGAAAGGCTTTAAATGTGCCACAGAGCTTCTCTACATGTGAAGTAATTACTGCTCATCATCGTGGGTCTGGAGAGATCCCAAACCAAGCTCTTCTGGTGGCTCTCCTTATTTGTTTGTGGGATTTTTCAGTCTCACTGTGGAGTGAGTCTTCTCACAATTAGTAATTCAACCCATCTGCTGGGTTTGGGGGCATTTCGTTGAAGTTTGGCTTCTCAACAGGAACAATCAGATGGATGTCTCAGGGACAAGTGATGAGCATATGTCCTCTTCTTTTTCACATGCTGAATTTTTTAGAAATATCTCAGAAACATCCTTTTGAACAAATAATCCCTCTCTTCCCCAAGTGACTTTCCTAAGCTTGTGTTTCTAACCCATATGTTTGCCCATTCACGTGCTGCGTGTTCTGGACAAGGTTTCAAAGTCATTGGTGATTTTGAGAGCCCAAGTCCTTAGAAATCTACCTTGTAAGGCTACATAGAAAGTAGATTTTTGAAGATTCTTGAGCTCCAAAAATCAGCCTTTCTGCAAGTGTCTTATTAGTGGCCAACAGCTCATGACCCATCGGTCCCGGACACACATTGGCCAGATAAACACTGGCCAGTATTTTTCCAGTTAGGCACCAAAACCCACATAAAAATTGAGGCTTAAGGATGTTTCCAGATAAAAATCAAGTTAACTGGGAAGAAAGTAAGAGGCAGAGTAGGAGTGACCTTGGAAAAGGTCTTAGAAACACGTTAGATACACGTTGGCCACTGTGTGCAGGTCAGGAGGCTCATGGGGAGGTCCTGGGGATGGTGGTTGCCAGGTGTCTGAGTTCCACTTCCCAGTAAGATTCCAGTTATAAAGAGTTTCAAAAGAGAATTAGTAAGGCTTTTTGTGGGTCTTTTGCTATTGCACCTGATAAGTGCCTCTCTGGAGTCAGAAAAGTAATTTGGTGGCTCCTCAGTTGGTTCAGTGATTCCTGGATGAAAATAAAGGCAGAAAGGATTTCTTTTCTGTTTTGATGATGGTGCAAATTCCATCATCATTCTGAGAATCATTTGAGCCTTTTTAAACATTTTATGGAGAAAACTGTCCCATCTCATCAAAAATGAGATAATAAACCCATTGAGGCGAAGAGGAGGACATGGAAAAATGACAGTGTTTCAGGCAAAAGCACAAGTTTAACTCTGTTGTGGTAAATTAAATACAAATAATCTGAATAACAAAATGAAATAAATGGTTGAGAGGGTTGGGCTAGGCTAACCTGGAATGGCCAGGGCCATATATTGTCCAAGAATCTTGTTTTATTGATGTGCTTCAAGGTGATGGAATCAACATCCCTGGAGGGTTTTAACAGATGTGTGGATGTGGCACTTGGGGACGTGGGTCAGTGGTGGCCTTGGCAGTGCTGGGGGAAGGGTTGAACTCAATGGTCTCAGAGGGCTTTTCCAACCTAAGTGAATCCACAAATACTGTAAAATCAGCTGTCCTGGACCTATTGTGGTGAAATATATGGGCCATATGTTTCTTTCAGCTGCTGAATTCAGTGAGCAAAATGAGGAAGTTCCTGCAGGAGCCACTTAAAAAACCAGTAACAAACTGTTAGTCCCATTCCCAGGGTGGCTCTGCTCTCCTGCACGTGCTGGGAGCATCCTGGGACTGCTCAGAGAATAATACTAAAGCCATTGAACATGTTGCTGCCCCAGGCACAACCCTGTTCTGCTGGCGGGGTGGCTTTGGCCCTGACACAGGAACGTGCTGTTCTCCAGGTTATTGGATCTTCTTTTGTGCCCCTGGAGTGTCTCCAGAAGGTTGTGCTCATTTGCTCACTCCTCTGGTCCCCAGTGTCCACTGCTTCACTTCCTGAGACAGAGCTGACTCTAATTCCTCTTTCCTTGGCAGAGAGCAGAGAAGTGTTTGCAAAGCAGAGCAGGGAAGGCTGATGTTTCAACAGAGAGGTTTTCAACGCCCTTTTTTTCTCCCTCCCCACAGAGTGTGCCTTGAAACAAAATCATAACAGCACCAGGTCTTCCTTGCTGTGCTGACAGCCACAGGGAGCAAGGGGTTGATCTGTCCTGGTGTTAATAACCCCCCAAAGACTGTTTGGGGAAGAGCTGGTGAGCAGGTGATTGTGGTGAAGCTGCTGGAGCCCAGGTTTGGAGGCATCTCATGCCTGGTCTCAATTTCCACACTGGAACAGGGAGAGTCCCTCTGCTCTGGGACAGGCTGGGAGAGCTGGGAGTGCTCACCCAGAGAAGAGAAGGCTCTGGAGAGACCTTAGAGCCCCTTCCAGGGCCTAAAGGGGCTCCAGAGAGCTGGAGAGGGACTGGGGACAAGGGATGGAGGGACAGGACAAGGGG